CTACGGGCCATTCGATCCTATACAACCGTTGCAAGAGCTTGGTTCGCATTGCCGGCAATAAGTCGGACTCGTTCCCGGTGGGTGATGGGCTTCGCCAGGGCTGCCCTTTGTCTCCGGTTCTGTTCATAATTTTTATGGACAGGATTTCTAGGCGCAGCCAAGTGGCGGAGGGCTTTCGCTTTGGTGGCCTCAGAATCTCATCTCTGATTTTTGCAGATGATGTGGTTCTGTTGGCTTCATCGGGTGAAGGCCTCCAGCTCGCACTGGAACGGTTCGCAGCCGAGTGTGAAGCAGCGGGAATGAGGATCAGCACCTCCAAATCTGAGGCCATGGTTCTCAGCCGGAAAAGGGTGGAGTGGCCACTTCGGGTCGGGGATGAGTTCCTGCCCCAAGTGGAGGAGTTCAAGTATCTCGGGTCTTGTTCGCGAGTGATGGGAGAAGGGAGCCGGAGATCGACAGACGGATTGGGCTGCAGCTGCAGTAATGCGACGCTGCACCGGTCCGTCGTGGTGAAGAGGGAGCTGAGTGTAAAAGCGAAGCTCTCAATTTACCGGTCGATCTACGTCCCTACCCTCACCTATGGCCACGAGCTGTGGTAGTGACCGAAAGAACGAGATCGCGGATACAAGCGGCAGAAATGAGCTTCCTCCGAAGGGGGCTGGCCTCTCCCTTAGAGATAGGGTGAGAGGTTCGGCCATCCGGAGGGGCTCAGAGTAGAGCAGCTGCTGCCCACATCGAAAGGAGCCAGCTGAGGTGGTTCGGGCATCTGACAAGGATGCCCCCTGGGCGCCTCCTGGGTGAGGTGTTCCAGGCATGTCCCACCGGAGGAGGCCCGGGCAGACCCAGGACACGCTGGAGAGATTATATCTCTCGGCTGGCCTGGGAACGCCTTGGTATTCCCCGGACAAGCTGGAGGAGGTGGCTGGGGAGAGGGAGGTCTGGGCCTCTTTGCTTAGGCTGCTGCCCCGCGACCCGCCCCCGACAAAGCGGAAGAAGATGGATGGATGGTCATGTTGGAAGACCCAGCCTCATTTCATCTTCAAAGTTCTCACTGATGGTAGGAGGTTTTGGCTCAAAATCTCACGATACATGGCCCCATTCATTCTGTCCTTAACACGGATCAGTCGTCCTGTCCCCTTGGCAGAAAAACAGCCCCATAGCATGATGTTTCCACCCCATGCTTCACAGTAGGTATGGTGTTCTTGGGATGCAACTCAGTATTCTTTTCCCTCCAAACACGACGAGTTGAGTTTATACCAAAAAGTTCTACTTTGGTTTCATCTGACCACATGACATTCTCCAATCCTCTGCTGTATCATCCATGTGCTCTCTGGCAAACTTCAGACGGGCCTGGACATGCACTGGCTTCAGCAGCGGAACACGTCTGGCACTGCGGGATTGATTCCTGCCGTTGTAGTGTGTTACTGATGGTGACCTTGTTACTTTGGTCCCAGCTCTCTGCAGGTCATTCACCAGTCCCCCCTGTGGTTCTGGGGATCTTTGCTCACCGTTCTCATGATCATTTTGACCCCACGGGATGAGATCTTGCGTGGAGCCCCAGACCGAGGGAGATTATCAGTGGTCTTGTATGTCTTCCATTTTCTGATGATTGCTCCCACAGTTGATTTTTTTCACACCAAGCTGCTTGCCTATTGTAGATTCACTTCCAGTCTGGTGCAGGTCTACAATACTTTTCCTGGTGTCCTTCGAAAGCTCTTTGGTCTGGCCATGGCGGAGTTTGGAGTCCGACTGTTTGAGGCTGTGACAGGTGTCTTTTATACAGATGATGAGTTCAAACAGGTGCCATTCATACAGGTAACGAGTGGGGACAGAAAAGCTTCTTACAGAAGACGTTACAGGTCTGTGAGAGCCAGAGATTTTCCTTGTTTGAGGTGACCAAATACTTATTTTCCACCCTAATTTACGAATAAATTCTTTACAAATCCTACCATGTGAATTCATGGATTTTTTTTCACATTCTGTCTCTCACAGTTGAAGTGTACCTCTGGTGCAAATTACTGACCTCTGTCATCATTTTAGGTGGGGGAACTGCACAATCGGTGGCTGACTAAATACTTTTTTGCCCCACTGTACTTGAAACTCCTGTCAATATCAAATGATTGCATGGAATGACTTTGAGTTGCTACTAAGATTAGTAGACAGATTATTTTCTGTCGAGTTATTTGGAGAGGGGCCAGCAGTCTGTGGCTGTTACTGAATTATGAATGAAAGTTTCATCGTGTTAAGTCATTCTAATCTGCGCTTAACTCACTGTCTTTAAGCAACCACAACTGCAGCACCAACCACAACAACTACAACTGCAGCACCAGCAACCATAACTGCAGCGCCAACCACTACAACTGCACCAACAACCACTACAACTGCAACGCTAACCGCAACTGCAGCACCAACCACACCTGCGTCACCAACAACCACTGCAGCACCAACAACCACTACAACTGCAGCACCAGCAACTATAACTGCAGCGCCAACCACTACAACTGCACCAACAACCACTACAACTGCAACGCTAACCGCAACTGCAGCACCAACTACACCTGCGTCACCAACAACCACTGCAGCACCAACAACCACTACAACTGCAGCACCAGCAACCATAACTGCAGCACCAACCACTACAACTGCACCAACAACCACTACAACTGCAACACTAACCGCAACTGCAGCACCAACCACACCTGCATCACCAACAACCACTGCAGCACCAACAACCACTACAACTGCAGCACCAGCAACCATAACTGCAGCGCCATTCACTACAACTGCACCACCAACAACAACCACTACAGCTGCAGCACCGGCAACCATAACTGCAACAGTAACCACAACTACTGCACCAACAACCACAACACTAACCACCACTACAACTGCAGCACCAACCACCACTACAACTATAACACCAACCACAACTGCAGCACCGGCAACCACAACTGCAGCACCAACGAATACAACTACAGCAACAACCACAACTGCACTACCAACCACCACTACAACTACAGCACCAACCAACACAACTACAACACCAACCATAACTGCAGCACAAACCACTACAACTACAGCACCAACAACCACAACTGCAGCGCCAACTACTACAACTACAACTAAAACTGCAGCACAAAGCACCACAACCCCTACAGAAGGGTCAACCACCATTCAAAGTATGTGATTTAAATTAAAAGTACTTAATGTGTGCAACAGTTTCTCTTCCTACCTTCTGTTGTCCTTCCAACATTCACACTCTAATACTAGGGTGGGAAACTCCAGGCCTCAAGGGTTGAAGTCCTGCAGGTTTTAGATCTCACCCTGGGTCAACACTGGAATCAAATGATTAGTTCATTACCAGGCCACTGCAGAATTTCAAGACATGGTGAGGAGGTAATTTAGCCATTTAAATTAGCTGCGGTGGTTCTAAAACCCGCAGGACACCAGCACTTGAGGCCTGGAGTTCCCCCACCCAGGGTTGGACTGGGACAAAAAAACGGCCTAAGCATTTTGACTAGAGACCAGCCCACAAAGTACTATAGGAAAAGCCATAAAGCCTCAAATGCTGTTGTATAATTACTTTACACTTACCAATTATACTTTTATAATTCTTTTTTTCAGTTCCAACAGGCCCACAAGCACTTGCACATCTAAAGATAAAGATGACTACATACGGGCAGGTTAGCAATGCAACCATCATTGCCCTTCTTGAAAAGGTATAGCTATATCTTGAAGTTTGCTTCGTACATTCTTGACTTATCAGTAATTTCACACACACAAATCATGTCTTAAAAATTCAAATGTTTAATCTCTGTGTTTTCTTTCCATTTAGTTTAACACCAAGGTCCTGAATGGTATACCCCACATTCTCTCTGTGACAAACATTAAAAAAGTTGGAGCATAAAAATTGAATGTGGACACAAGTCAAAAATAAAAATATAAAGGCAAGAATTTAACAGTGAGTTAGTAGATTTGTTTCAACATGATCCGGAGCGGCAGTTTGCCTCAGTCGCTTCATCATATCCTGAATGATTAGTACGTTGGTGTGAGAAGGAGACATCAGCTGTGCTGCAGTGGTCGACAGCCAGATGGGCTTGGATTGCTCTGTGAATGTATGAAACCTAAACCTGGGTGAAAGCAGATCATATTTAAATATCAATCCCCTTACATGATCATTTCTGAAATTAAATCAAACTGCAGAAACACAATGCTGTAGTTCCCATGAATTACAAATGCGCTTTTGGTTTATCATCTTGAAAAGTACAATAGGCATCTCAAACCAGGCAGCTGGCTAATAATGTCAATACTTACTCACTCTGACAAAATGGTGACTAGGAAATCAAATAATTTATATGCTTTGAAACAAAAAAAATATTTATTGGTTACGTGTTTTAGTAATATCACTTTTGAGTCATTTAAAAGTACAGATCCGGAAAAGCATTAATTGTACTGCACACACAGCTAGGCCTCTGAGAAAGTGGGTGACACTCAGTGGGTGAGAATTCCACAGGTGTTAACTTACTGCTCACCGTGTCAATAGATTTTAATTAAATTTCCGTAACAGATTCTTGTTAACTCGGCTTTTCCACATGGAAAACAAGGAAAATTATTACTGTTGGTGCATAAATACTGCACCCTAATGAAGAAAATAAATCAGTTTTCAGATATTACTGACCAACAACACACTTTTTCCCCCTTTGTGGTATTAGAATCATATACAGAATATCAAGAACAACAGCTGTTAGAAAATACAAGAGAAAGTGAAAACATAGATTGCTATTCAATGTTAAATGTGCTCTTCGTAAGTGCCATTTTAATAATTAATGAAAGAAAACACACACCTTATCTGCATCAACAAATAAACTCAACATGGATCCATCAACTCTGACTTGGCCCTGCCAAAAACATCTAAGACCTTGTGTGTTGAGTACCATTCCTTCCCGTTCTTTTAAAATACATGATTCTACTTATCAAAAAATGCGCACAGGTTCTATTATAAACACTACACGGTTTAAAACCATCAGACTGAGGTCTTTACAAAATACAAACACTGGTCTAATCTACAGCATCGTGTCACCAGCACCAAAGTGCACACAGAGCAAATTGCGTCCTTTTAGTCATGTTGTTAACATCACACAGAAACGTTTAATCTCCAGTGAGAGGGAATTCTCTTCATAATCTCATCATCACTTCTCTTCAGTTGTCCTCTCCGTCTCGCAGCACCTTGTGCACAGCTCTGTTTAACAGGGCCAGCAGGTCCACAGCCCCAGCCACTCCCCTTGGCAGGTAGAGCTCCAGAGAAGAGGAGGCGGCATGAGGCAGGCGCAAATCTTGCATGCTGGCATCCTGAGAGGGGAAAAAAAAAAAAGGAATAGTGAGGGAAATGTGACAAAGATTCATCTCTTGACAAAGGAAAAGGAGCTATATTTTATCACCTTGGATAGTTGATGCTGGTAGTGATTCTTGTGAATTTGAATCACAATTAAAGGCAGGATTTTAAGGATTTTTATGTTAAACACCAACCTGAGAGTAAAAACACAGAGAAATGAATCTGGGGAAGCCAAGAGGAGGCAAACGGTCAGCTCCTGTGATGAAGGTGAGGAGGTCTTCAAAGGAAAACTCTGCCTTGCCGTCTGATTGTGCAAACAGAGACATATTTTATCTAACCTGAAACACTAGAAGCATCTTTATTCTTTCCACCACACCCTCCAACCTTACCACGCACTAAAGTGAGGATTGTTTCCCAGTGTCCAGCTGTGGCCTCCTCATCTGCCCTCAGTTGGGCATCTGAAGTGCTAAAGCTGATGGTAAAAAGCTGCTTGAACTCTTCCAGACTCAGAGGCTGCTGCGGTGCACTCGTCATAACTGGGGCAAAAATTTCCCAGTGGGACTGAACCATGTCCCACAGCCCACCACAGCTATTCAGCCCCTCAGTAAACTGGGAGATCATTTTAGTCACCCTGAAGGACAGCAAGTGGATTAAATTTAACTTTTGTATTTAGAAAGGGCAACATTTGCATGTAGCTCAAGTTGAAACTGTCGACACCATGTGTATGACGTATGCTTCTGTGTGTGCACTACCTGTCGTAGATGTAGTGTTTTACCAGGCGACTATAAATGGCTGGCATTTCATCAGAGTTGGCTGAACAGATCTCAGGGATCCCACAGCGTGACACCCAATCGCACAGACTGGGAGACAGCAGCTTTACATCAGTACAACTATGTAGCTGTGAGAGCAGAGGAACATCATTTGTGTGCGGCACACAGAAGGCAATTATGTACACAGGACTGAGGGTTTAATACAGAGAAGAGTTTAAAGGTGAGGGGGGAAAAACTGCCATACAAACAGTTCATCATTCTACAGCTGAAGGCAGAAACAAGATGATGTTATTCAGCACTGTAATTATGCTACAGTCACATTAGGAAACCACTACAATTGCCATGGTATATGCAGTGATCTCACAATCTCATCGAAATGGTTACTTAAGACAGGGACCAGGTCTGTGACCTGTGTTCAAAGGGACTATCACACATCAGGAGGGTGATTGAATGGCAGTAAGATGCAGTCTGCTATCAGACTGTATTGAATAGGGTCATTTGGCAGTTACAAAGTCTTTTGTCATCCGTTGCTTTCTCTACTACACAGAAACTCACAGTTCCCAGTTATTTTTAGTGTCCAAGCAGAACCTCACAAATATGAAAAAGAAATTCCTTCACAAGTTGTTGCACAACCAACTTCTGGGCAACCAGTGGGTTGGTGCAGCTATGAGGTTACCATCCTATTTTTACTCCAGTGTGACCGATCCATCAATAAAATAACTGGTTTATATTAAGATCACCGTTATCCAAACTAACCATGTATAATAACACAGGTACAGCAGTATATCAAGTTTTTAAATATGTTACAATTAGAGTTGTGAGTTTTCTTCTTGTGTGCTACCTCTTTCAGTTGGATTTGGACTTCGGTATCAATAATGTCCCGCCAGTTGAAGTCTTCTAATGTTATACTGTGGCAACACATCACCTGTGACAGTAAAATAAGCCATACAGACAAAGATTGTGCTGGTAATACCTGACACAGCTACAGGGCATCAGAAAAAGTAATCTAATATCACATTCGCAAAGAATAGGCAATACTGTATGACAAATTCTTGTAGTGCCTACACTAGCACACATTCAGTTAAGGACTCTACCTGATACAATGCAGGGTGAAGGCAACAAAGTCCAGGCCCACCCTGAGCCAGCGACCAGCCAATGAGAACCCCAGCTTCATAGTACTTCCTCTCCTCAAGAGCTGTGAAGTTGCAGGTCATGAACAGACTTCCTGGAAGACCCTCAAACACACAGCTGTGCTGCAGCTCCAGCAGCATCAGCCTGCATGAGAAGAAATGTAGACATGAATTAACAAATGACACCTTTATGCTTTGGTGTTTTGGCAGAAACCTCTTTCAGAAGAACTGAACATTTCTCTCAGAATAGTGGAGCACCAAAACAAACAAAACAAAACAAAACGAAAACGAAACCTAGATGCCATTATTGTGTCATTCATCAAAGAAAAAAAGAAAAATCAGCTGCTACCTTTCCATTTTGTATTGCTGTAAATACCATCTGTTCACATATTTGGGGTTTTGGACAGTTGATCAAACAACACAATCAGTTTTATTACCACACCGTCTTCTGGGATCCTGAACTATCATGATGAGCATTTGACACAATTTTCACATTGTTTACTGCAGCCCCAAAATGTATAGAATATGATCCTATTATAGACTACATGCTACCATGTGGAAATCTCTTTGTGAGCCAGTTTTCCAATTACAAAAAAAAGTGAATATTAAATCTTGATGAAATTCATACAGTCATGTTGGATCAGAGTTTGAATAAATTAGCTTCAGTATAGAAAACCATACAACTTATTTTATGCCTGAAGCCATCAGCTCCAGCAATAATTTCAGGGAAATGATGAGGACCTGAAAAACTCCCTGACAGGGGCCTCGTGGCTGTCGGGCTCTTCTCCACTGAAGGAGATAACAGGCGTCGCCCTGAAGCAGAAGTCGGGCCTCCTCACCACCTCCAGAGCGCCGTGGAGTAGATCTGTCCGCCTCACCTGGATGTGAGTTTTCAATCCTGGATCTACGTTCTCCTGTCTGAACGCTCTCAGGATGGTGTCCAGGTCAACAGTGGACTGCGCACAAAAGATGCAAGTTTAACAGGAGACAAAGATAATAATAATAATAATAATACAACAAACTGAATTTAGGATTGACTTTTTTATCTTTTATCCTCCAAACTCACCTTCTTTGTATCCCTGCAGATGCTAGGCTTGATTATTAGCTCACTTTTACCATCTTGGCAGCTGTCTGTGCTGCTCCCCCCCCAAAAAAAAAAAAAAACCCACACAAATTCAGATAATGCAGCTATTTAGTTTGTCACTAATCATTTCTAAATGTGTATTCACAGGAAATGTTTTCTTGCCTTTTTACCACAAGTGTCTCACTTGCTGACCCTTCAGATTCTGTCTGTAAGGAGAAGAGAACTTTATAAACTACAGACAAAATGGAGGCAGACTGAGCAAAGCAAAAGCAGATTGGAGAAATAAACGAAATAATTAAAGATCCCGTGTTCCCCGGTTCACAGGAACAAGGCGTCCAGGGGTCCATGAGCCATTTTAAACACTTGCTGTCGTTTCTGTTTTTTCACAGAAGCCAAATTATCTTTAAACTGAATCTTAACACACAAAGTTGTCTTTATGGCTTTTGAAATATAAAAATGTATCAGATCCAAGTCCTACTTTTATAATGATCACATCAGGGTATTAGTAATGAAGCAGCAGTAGTTACCTCTGAGTAGTCGTGGTGGCTCAGGATATATAAAGCACCATGTTCAGAGATCCTGAGGACTTGCTCTCCAGTCCAGCCCTCTGAAGGGGTGTCAGGGACAAACAGCACTCTGGAGCTCTGCACACACTGGAAACAACCACCACATTCAGCAATGTTCTGTGTACTAAAATGAACAGACTTTAAGACACCTCAGGCAGAACACATCTCACACCCACCTGCAGATATGTAAATGAAAACTTTTGTCCTGCCTGTTTTACAAAGTGCCCCTGAAAGAGCATCGCCAGTCGACCCTTCACCTGAGTGGCTGACCAGCTGCGGTCAATGGTGATGCGAGCAGTCATCATCATGGCTTCCAGAGCTGCTTGGTCTTTATTCTTTGGAACTATTTGTCTGGAAGAACAGAAAATAACATTTACTTCACTGAAAAATGTTATGAACAGTAGAGTAGATTCAAACAGAGCTATGTAAACACCTTTTATTGCCACAATCATCACTTTAGAAACAGTGGGAGCTACTCAAACATTCACTGACCTAAAATGGCAT